GCAGGTAATTGCAGAAATAAGGTAGGAGTAACTATTTGTATCCAAGAAATATCCTTTTATATAAGCCAAGATGATTTCTCCTTTGTCTCTTCTGACCCCTCGCCATTAAAAGACTGGCATTTTAAAAACAACCAAATTCACATGGTGATAAAGTAGCCTGAAGCTAATACTACAGACATAAGTGTTGTCTTTGGTATACAATGTCCACTGCTTAAAAAAATATCCAGATAAGAGTGCACCTCTCTCTGTTCACGTAAAACAAAGAGAAGTGCTAATCACAAAATTTACAATAAGATTTTAAATAAACAACGTTTAGGATTATGAAAATGTATAAACATTTAATCAAAAACCTGATTTTAAACTGAAAAGTCCTTTGAATGTCCCTGAACTATGAACTATGAGTTGAAGACATGCTGTAATAAACATATATATTTGGTTTCTTTATTCTGCCTATATTTTTATATAAAGATGAAACTGAGGAACAATAAATTAGCATCACAATTGGCTACAATGGAAATGGTGTTATACAATATAAATAAACTATTTAAAAGCCAGCAATCTTCATGAAAACAAATGGACAAATAAACAAGGCTTGTGGATTAGAAGTTTGATACAATTTCTACAAGTGATTGTACAGTCAATAACCCAAACAGAAAAATAAAGTAATTAACATATACATGAGATTCCCCTTTTGATTTTAGTGTCTCACGACATACAGTAATTAAGTACTGGTAAAGCTTGTTACCAATCTAGAAAGCAACATTAAGGAAATCATGGTTTTGCAATATTATCATGGGATTTCCCCCTCCCCCAGGACCTCACAAATGTAAACACAATAAACTTTATTTTCTTCAAAACTGTAAAGTATTAATACTTCCACCCTAAACATATTCGATCCACATTTGTACAGTTACCATTCAAAATTCTGAAATAAGGCAAAGCTTTCATTATGGTGGCACATTTCATAATACTGATAACTTCATGTTGGATAGAATTATTTGTCCTTCTCTGATATTTGTTCTGCAACGGACTTTGGTTTTACGTAGATTTGGCAGTATCGCTCTTCATTTAGCACACCAAAGATTTTTGCTTTAATTCTTGTTTTGAAAATGTGTTTTCGGTTCCAAAGGATATACAAAAAGGATGCAGATTTTTCAGACTACCACTCATAAGAACCAATTGCTGGATTTCATCAGTTGATCTATTTGTATCAATAGGACTAACTTGTTACTGACTTTCAAAAAATTTTTGACCCCAAAGTAAGATAAAGCTGAAGAACTTGGTTTTCTGAATGGGTAAAGTGAGAGATTCTAATCATCCAGGTCATGGTTGCTTCAAAGGTGCCTTTTTCTTTGAAAGGCAACTGGGCTGTTTTTTCCTTGAGGAAGAAGAAACATTTTGGATAAGAAGCGAAACGTTTTCTTCTTCTTCCTCAAGGAAAAAACAGTCCAGTTGCCTTGCGAAGAAACAAGCACCTTTGAGGACAAGAGAATATTACGGTACTTGGTGTACTGTGCCTCCTCGCATAAGGGAAGTTCTGGACCTTTCAAAAATACATCAAGAATGTGAGATTAAAAAGGAGACACAGAGATCTGGACAGGCAATCAAAGCAGAATGAAGGAATTAGTTTATAGTGAGGGCATAAATGGATACCTGTTAAGACCAAATTCTGACAAAAGTGTGTTAAAACCCAACATTGGCTGGACCAGCTCAGAAGCCATGACTAGCTTCTGCACCTATCATCCTCAATCATCTTCCAGTTCTCAATGCTTCAGAAGGGTCTGGGTATTTTAAATTTCTCATTTAAATGCCTCCGTTTCCTATTCCTCCCACAAAAGTTTACTGAAATTTAATATCGTGTCCCTTCCATTGCCAAGAGTTAAGCTTTGAGCCAAAGACCTGGCAAAATAAGAGTCCCAGGAAAACAATCGGAAGATGGTTTTCTTAAATCTGAAAATGCCTTTATCGGATACTCATTCCCCCCCACCCCAGCTCCAGTTCTGATTATCTGGTTTTAGATATGAATTCAGACTACTGTCTAGTATGGCCATCTAGACACCTTTAATTTTTTTGCTCCGTAGGCCAAATGGGAAAACTAGGATGCAAGGGCTACAATAATGATCTGAAGACTCCGAAGTTATGCTAGCCTGCTCTTGAACTGCATGTGCACATGGTTCACGAGGAACCCTTAACCGAGGGATATGTGGGAAAAGAAAGAAATCACAGTGAAGACAAGACAGTGGGATATTAATTGAATTCATTAATCTGGAATTCTCTCAAATCCAGCTACTAGATTGGAGTTCAAGCAAAGAGATGCTACTGCTTGATGTTTAATTTTAGGTTGTGGTTAAAGAGTAGCCACAAGCTGATCTGGCACTAAAAGCTTTGAGAAGTCATTCCAATAATGTTGAATTTGAGTCCACTATCAATTGCTTTGGAGCAGCTTTCTTCCCAAATTTAACCAATGGTAGAAGAGAGATACTGCCTGGCTGAACAACATGAACCCAATGACAAAAGTAACCTTAGAAAACATTAAGAATGTCACACCAATTTTATGAATAAAATTTTCTTCTCATAATAATAATATTTTTTCTCGTATTCGATATCTGCAGGTCGGACTCCCAAACAGACGAAAATCCAGGCTGTATTTATTTGCTTGCTTGCGACACTCTTCTGTATGCATGTGTGAGTGTGTGGCTCACTCCAGATTTTTAATGTAGTGTAGATATACGGATTCCTCTTGGAAGGAGAAGTAAGAACTCAGTCTTTGGAAAGACGACACAGGGAAACTGCAGTCTTGCATCCTTTACAGGTGTTTTCAGTCTTGCTAACCAAGGAAGGATTGTAGTGCATGCAGATCCCCTTGATCTGTTAGCTGAATAACACAGATAAAACTTGCTCCTAAATGTATTCATAGTGGTAACTGGCAAAGTTCAAATGTATAAGCATTGTTCTTTCCATTTTTATTTTTTTATTTATTTTTTACCTTTATCGATATGGAGGTTGGGAGCCTTTCCGCTGACAAATCTCCTTTTATTCGAGTGATAAAAGTCCTATACAAGTTCCTTCGGGGAAACGGTGTAGCATTTCATTCACAGTTGGCAATGAAAATACCCTGATACATCACTTATTTACTATTAAGTATTTTGATTATTATAACATTTTATTTATTTATTTTTGCAAAGTTTCTTTAAACCGAGTTATTTCAATTAGTGTCGCTCGGAGAACTTTTAAGAGTATTTTTTCTTTCCGGGAAAGCAGGAGCTGTATCAAAGGCTATCATTTATGCTCTCTTTGCATGCAACATTTCAATGAGAAGGTTGTTACATGGCACATCCCCGTTCAGGTGTTTATAGTAGAGGTACTCTTCGGCCTGCATGCTGATTGCCCGGATTTCTGGGAGTCTCAGCAGAAGCTGCCCAAATTTGTCTGTCTGCTGTGGATAGTTGCACATGGTATAGTCCAGCAAAGCAGCGTTCACTTGCTCTTGAACACCTTCTACCAGCTGGAAGTTCTCTAGATTTTTGACATCTGAATAAAAAAATAAATAAAAAAAAGATTATGAACATGGTAATAATCATGGTGTTTAAACAGGTAGCCCTCAACTTACAACAGTTCATATAGCGACCGTTGAAAGTTACATCGGCACTGGAAAAAAAGTGACTTAGGACCATTTTCACACTTATGGTCATTGCAGCAGCCCCGTGGTCATGTGATCAAAATTCGGATGCTTGGAAACTGGTTCATATTTATGACGGTTGCAGTGTCCTCGGGTCATGTGATCAACTTTTACGACCTCCTGATAAGCAAAGTCAATGGGGAAGCCAGATTCACTTCACAATCGTGTTACTAACTTACCGTAACAACTGCAGTGATTCACTTAACAACTGTGGCAAAAAAGGTCATAAAATGGGGCAAAATTCACTTAACAAATGTTTAACTTAACAAATGTTGGGTTCAGTCGTGGTTGTAAGTTGGGGACTACCTGTACTTAATTATTAAAATGGTATTTCACTAATATGTTTTCCTCAGCATAAACAAATGTTTTCCATGCCCCTGAATATTAGTTGAATCCCTCTGCCAAGTTTTCTAAAGACTAAAAATACGAACAAACCTCACCACAGTCTAACTTTGGAATGTCATGTTGAAATTCTGCTTAAAGCTTAGATTGTTGAGACATCAATGGATTTTGTACAAGGTCATCTCTTTCTTTTCCATGTATCTTGTGGAGAAAAAGGTTGAAGATGCCTAACATTCAGAATTGTAATATATAGTTGGCAAATGAGTCCCCTGAGAGGAAGGCGTACCTTTAACCCAATATATTACACAATTCATATAATTCTGTATTAATTCTTCTGATCCAAGGTGAAATCTGTGTCCAGGGCATACTGTAGTTAATTCTAATAAAAAATGACAGGCTTCTTGTTTCTTTTTTGACATTTTTCTAAATTATTCTGAAAGACTTTGACTTGTCCATCCTGATGCTAATGAGCCATCTGGAACATTCCAGTGATTGCCAAAATAACCTGCCTGACCCAGAAATGAGTGTGTGCATGTCGGTTTCTGAATCTTTCTCCCAACTGGATGGTTGTAAATACTTCAGACTCAGAACCTAACATAGTCTGCAAATATTTTCATTTATTATATTTATTCCTCTACTTCACTATCAACTACTCTAAATTCTTGGTACAAAGCGATGCCCAACAAAGCTTTTCCCTTATCAGCTTATGGCTCTTCTAAACTGTCTTCAGTCCAGAATTTGTTATAGTAACCTGAAATAGAATTCTGGAACTCACTCAGGCATAATCTTTGTCTAATAAAAGTTATACCAGCCAGGATACCAACTAAGACTGGCAGTCTTATGCACAATGGATTCTCACCTATATGTTTAATTTCTTTGGGACAAAAACCTCTTTCAATTTTCCTTTTAGACTCAGCACTGTCTCCTTTACTGTCTCTGGCCATGAAATGACAGGTAAATCCATCCTTTAATAACATTTTAGTAGAGGGAAAGCAAGAGTTGGTTTGATGTAGTGGTTTATGCACCAGGCTAGAAACCAGAAGATTGTGAGTTCTAGCTCTGTCTTAGACCTGGAAGTCAGTTAGGTAATTTTGGCCCAGTTACTTTCTCTTAGCCCTAGAAAGGAGGCAGTGGCAAACCACTTCTGAAAATGTTAAGAAAACTTCAAGGACTAGAGCAGACAATGCTAACTTGGAGTCATAAAATAATAATAAAAAAGACGTATACGATTGAAACATTTTTATACATCTGCAGGATTGTACAGATCCATGTAAATAAATAAATAAATAAATAAATAAATAAATAAATAAATAAATAAATAAATAAATAAATAAATAAATAAATAAGCAAGCAGGTATTTATTTTTTGACTGTGTGCTAAAGAAAGTCATTTTGGACAAATCTCCCTATTTGGGTGTCAGGTTCGGGTTACCAAAAAGGAATCAAATATTTTTCCATTGCATGTGAATTCTTGTGAATGTTCGCCAGTTTCTTCCTCAAATCAATAGAACTGTGTTTCTTTTATAATGTGCTGATTGTACAACATGATGCATTCATAAATTTAACAGCCAATCCCTATGTGTGCTTCAGCCCACAGCAAAATCCTTCAAAACAATGAAATCTGCATGTATATAGATGGCACATCTAGAAGGGTCCTTTATTTGTAAAGTATTCCAGCCCTTGAAGATCATGTTACTAGACTTCAGGCAAAACTCTATAGCTATTGGTAATAAAGGCAAAATCAACTCTAAGGGAAAAAATGTAACCTCTTATCCTAGACTGATCATGCACTCAAATACTTGATGAGCACTCAATTGCAATGACTCATGATCCTATTTTATATTGGAATTCATCCGTAATTTTGCACTGAAAAATATGTGGCTTTTCTTTCTTTTTTTTTAAAATGCCTTCTGCTTTTTTTTTCTTTTTTCTTTTTTTAAAAAGCAACATAATGAAAACAACAGTTTGGTAAGACTCACTGAAAGGAAAATATTGAATAAACTGTGTTTCTGAAAGAACACTTGGTGGCTCTTACCCAGATTACTTTTAACCCAAAACTCATACTAAGATGAGTTATTAAACTACTTGAATACTCTAACTCTAACCCTGCTATGCCTTAAATTGTAGATTAACTGATCTTAATTAAACAGTGTGATTATGTGATAAAGAGTAACAAATTTGGACACACGCAAAAAACACTTGTTTAATTGAGGCTTTAAAATGTCAAAGCTGCAAAGAGCTTTGATTTATTTACAGAAAATGATTCACCTTCTGGAAGAAAAAAGTCTCTATGAAAACATAATGGCAGTCTTGGGGAAATACAATGCATTGCCAATAGGACTCTTGTCAGTACTGCCAGGAAATCAAATCTGTTACTTTAACAAAGTAATCTTTGAAACTTAAAGCTTTTTTTTTTTCAGCATCCAAGTGCTTGGTAAATGGAGGCAGAGAACTGAGAATTCATGAGTTATGCATAATCTAAGAAATCAGCATTTCAAGTTCTGAAAGGCTTGTGACAAAAAAAAAGGGAAATACTGTCTTTCTTGCTGTATGCACTTTCAATTCAAAGTACAAGAAAGGGAAAAATAGTATCAACCTCTTATCTCTTCCACTTTATTCACTCAGGGACTAATTACCGATTTTTAATATGAAACAGTCTTACTGAATGTTCACAGTGGGACACATCTCTTTTCCCATCCTTACAGGAGAGTAAACCCTGAAGTCTTGTAGAATATATTGTATTTTTTGCAAGCTCTTGCAATAGTATTTTTGTCAAACACAGAATATATCCGTTCTATAATTTACTTCTAAAGATCAGGTTTTTTTAAAAAAACAAAAATTAAAATGCCATTCTCAGTTATGCAGTCACTTTAAAAGTCTGTCAGCATCTCCTTAAAACTCCTATTTCTGACAGTTTATCCCTTCCTCACCAAATAAAGATGCTCAGCTCAAAGTCTGCATATTAAATAAGACTAGAAAAAGAATATGATCCCATTTTTTTTTGTAAAAACACAATGGGTCTTAGCCTTCAGAGAAGAAAAATATTTAGGTTTCACAGAAGCTTCCTTTCCTCATATTTGAAGTGCTGAAATTCAGTGCAGAATTAATTGATAGAAAACTCTTGTAGTTTGCAAATTCTGAAAAGGGAAATTAAAAGTGAATGGCAAGTTATAGTTTGAAAAGTGGCTGCTGTGCAAAAGTTGGTAAGTAGTTACAAGAAAAATAACTATACTTATTGTACAATTTAGTTATTGGACTGCTATTGTCAAGGAACCTAAGGTTATCCATACTCACTTATGTTGGTTTATAGTTGAAATGCTAATGGTCTCTAAGAAATTGATGTCTTGTTTTATATCATTATTTAGAAGGTTGCCACCATCTTCTTAAAAGATTGGCACAACTTAAAAAAGCTAAATTAAAATCAGGGGGAAAAATGCCTGTTAACCAAGCACAAGACTAAAACAAGCATTAAAAAAAAAA